CAGGCGCAGCAGGGCCGGGCGCCCCGGGGAGCGGGAGGGCCGGCGGCGTGTGGGCTCCGGGCCCAGGCGGCGGGAGGACCAGGGCACCGCAGCCTCCCGGTACTGCTCAGGCTGAGCGGAACGGCAGCCGGGCCTGCTGGGGCAAGCCTTGCGCAGGCTGGGCCTTCAGCTTTGTGGGGGCTTGAAAGCTCTTCTGTGACAGACGTTTATGGCTTCTGCAGATCTGTGTCAGGGTCCCCAGGGAGAGTCCCTGGCCTGTCCCTGTGTTCGCCCATCAAAGGGCACTCTCCAGCCTCACTGTGAGATAGGTCTTGCCCGTAACTGAACTGAAACACGCTGAAAGGCAGCGAGGTGTTTTAAGACCCAAACCAGACTTTCTACCGATAAATACATCTTTATTAGTGGTTTTATATTTTAGTATTGAACTATTTGACATGTAGAGGTACAACTGTGAAATTACAGTTATCCTGAAACCACATACCTTTGGTTAGAGGAATGAGAGTTGTGCTCCAATTTCTTGTCCAACTTTAAATAGCACACTTCATGAACTTAAGAAATGCTAAATCTCTTACATGTTATGAGGGAAAAAAAACCCTAAGTTTTATCTTTAACAAAATCTTGCTACTACCCCACAGCAAATCATCAACATGTTACATGTCATGTAACAAAAATGCTGTATTTCACTATATTGCTTCTCTAGCTTTCCCCATCTCTTTGCCTGCCTGGAAGAAGCTAATACCTCAGCGCCCTTTGAAGTAACATTGCATGAACTCACACAATATTCTGGATTTTGTTAGCTTGACTATCTTAATAATTCACTAAAAACATTTTCCCTTTTTCAAGTCATAATAGTGTTCATTCTGTTAAAGCCTGTGTCCCACCAAAGTGCCTAAAAATAGTAATTTAAAAAAAAAAAAAGGAAAAAAGTTATTGGAGTACTTTAGGTACTGAAAAGCTGTCTACTTACAGACAGATGTTTTTGCTGTTGCCTGTGTTATGTCTTAGGAAAGAGTTGCCAAACAGATCAAGTACAACAAAAAAGTAAAATCTAAAAGGAAAAAAAATGTGCTTACTTCCAGAAACAGTTTGATTTCTAGAAGAAATATCTTAATGTTTTGGTTGGATAAGTATTGTCATCTATTCCTGCATAGTCCATAGCCAGATACAATTAGGAAAATCTCTGTTAACAATACCAAAAGTATTAGGGTAGTTAACCATGTCATACCTGAGAGTAGAGGAGATGGTGCTTTGTTATTTAAGTGAAGTACAACACTTCCAATGTTGTCACTTCTGGGACTCACAAATGGCTGGGCATTGATGAGTTCCCTTCATCAGATCCTTTGCTTGTTTGGTCCTGCCCTTACTTCTCTATTTCAATACACATCTATGATTTTGTGCTGCTTTCTTAGTTGCTTTCTTCAGAGCTAGTGAAGGGGGCAAGTGGGTCAGCCATTAACAGTGAAAGAGATGTCGTACAGTTTTCAAGATGTCTCTTGGAAAAAAATGTAAAAATACCACCAACAAAAAACAACCAAATAAACCCAAACCCCCAAACTGTTGTGTTCTGACTCATTTGATAAAGGAAGTGCTATCTTTCTTCTTCCTGTTCTTCAGGCACTGCTGCAGCTTACTTTAGCTGTATCTGTTTCAAATGCTAGATGTCTATGGAATGACTTTTTTTCCCAGACATTGTTATATACTCTTTCTTTAAATATACAGTGAAATCTGGTTTTGACCTTTCTCGTCAGTGGCTAAGATGGAAGAGGTGTGTTTCTGTTAATACCAAGCTGGTAAAAGAGAAGCTGCTACAAATGTTAAAAAAGGAGGTGATGTCCACCTTCTCTGAGGAAGAGGACCTGGCAGATTTTTAGTGAATTTTTAAAATTATTTGTTTCCCGCTCCCAACCTGATTTTGCCATAAAATAGCAGAAGACATCTCTAGTGGCTTTCAAGCATTTTTCTTGTCTTATATCCTATATACTCCCTGTTGGAAGCTGGTTTGCAAGGAATGGGGGTGGCAGGACTGAAGTGCTAAGGCTTGGACAACCGGCCCAAGCCAGAGTTGACCTATAGATGAATCCTGTATATTTTATAACTGATAACCATTGTGCTAGTAGGTATTGTACTAAGTTATAACAATGCACTTCTGCTGATGTAAAAAGTGCTGAAGCATTGAAATACTGAAGCCTGAACAACAGGCCCCAAGCCGAAGCTGCTTAGTGTGTAATCATTAACAAAGTGTGTAAACTCACTAGTGAAAGGTGCAGCTTAGACAAAATACAATCAGTAGTGAGGAGAGATTGTATGCAACTTTCCTTTCTCAGCCTTGTTCAAGGGTGAGAACCCAAGTGTCTGCCCTTGTTAGAAACTCCCTTGGTTTCCCCCCGCCGGGCCCTGGCCAGGCTTTGGGTGGAATCCAACAGGAGAATGAAACCAGAAATCTTCTGCTCAAAACAAAGGTGCCAGCTGTTCTGGCCTGTCCATCTCTGGTACATAAGGCTGGACCCGCTCACAGTGACTTTGGGTGCCTCACCTATGGGTGGACGCACCGCATAGGATTTCCCCCTTGCTGGGACAGGCTCTGCAAACCCTCGCTGTGACCGGGGCTGCCCAGCCGCTGCGGGGCTGGGTGATGATAATATATGCAAGTGGTGATGGATCTTTCTTAATCTCTATTCTCTCTCTCATGTATTAAATTATGTAATTATCCCGTGATTTAATGCATTACCCTGTTTTTTCCTGTTTGCTGCTTTAAGTGCACTATTCTGCTTTTTCTTACTGCATGTTTTCTGTATTACACTGTTACATTGGTTATCACTAGTAAAATAGGCCTACTCTTTTCACTCTGGTGTCTGGGTTTAATTGGCATCCTTAATCAGCAAAACTAGGACTTAATTGCAAACACCCAAGCGACTGCAGAGCCTGCAGGAGCAGCTGGGCTGAGCAGGGGTGTGGTGCTGCTTCCTCACTGCAGTAGGCAAGCCCTCGCCTCCCCCTGGGCTCTGTCTTGCTCCTGGCTAGAGTGGCCTCTGAATAGCTCCATGTCCACCTCTTCCTCAAGCTGTATTCTCTCTGGCACTAAACCCCAACCTGCATTTTGTAGTTTGTGGAGCTACTGTGCTAGTCTTCTCCCCATGCTTTGCAAAGTGCTTTGGTCTGAAGACTGGTGAAAGACTGGGTGTCTGATTGAGGGAACAGCAACCTCAATTTGCATTATATTTTGCTTTTGGATTATTACAGAACCTGTTTGGATTATATCATTACGATATATTTGAAGGAGAATGGCCTGATTTGGGGTTTGCTACCTCTCATCATTCTATTCAGGGCTGGGAAACCTTAATATTCAAATTCTCAGAGCATCACTCAAAGTTTCATCCAGTATCTTTCTGAAAATTTTCCATGTTTAAGAAGAAACACTTTTCCTGGGTGAAACTTAACATAAATTCTGTTGAAGCAAGAAACTGTTTTTCTCCATAGAGTTACTTCAGGGAATAGTCAGAGTACACACTCAGGTGAAGGGGTTTGTGATCTTTCAGTGCCTATCACAACCTCGTTTTAAGGTTATTGTTACCAATAAACGAAGGTGTAAGGTGTTGGCTATTTAGGGACAGGCTCTGTTTCTAAATTGGTGCAAGTGCAACAGGAAAAGTGTTGTGGTGTGTAAACAGTTGTGGTTGGTGGAAGGGGGAAAGCTGTGATGATTTTGCCCTTCAGAGACAAGAATATGGCATTGCCACAACTGTGCTGTTATTTTGGGTTTATACATAAATATATCTCTGTGTGTATGTGCATGTATGTGTTCATAGTGTGAATGTAAGGTAGATTCTGTAGATTGTTACAGTAGATTCTGCTGCTTCTTTCATTCCAAACCACATACTCTTTCTGGCCTTCTGAGATCTGTGTGTGTAAATTTGCATGCTGCTAGAGAACAGACTGGTTGCAACTATACACTTTGCAATTATTTTTGCCCTGTGGTATTCCATCAACACTTACTGTCTTGATGTATGTAACTGTGAAACTGGGCTAGCCTGACATCTTGGAATATCTGAAAACTTTGAACTATTAGAACAGGTAATGTCTTAGATATAGATAAAATCTACCTTGCTTTACAAGTTCTGTGACATCTTTTATTTCTGAAAGCTAGAGAAACAATACTTAAACACAGGTGTGTTGTTCCTCTGTATATTTAGTATTATCCAAAGTAGTAAAATGTTTTTAGCTTTGATTGAAAATACAGAATTGTCTAGAGAAAGCAGCTTTGCACAATAATGATTGATACATTTTTATCATTATTAGCAGCTTCAAGAACTTTTAAATTATGCAGGTTGTCAGATTTTCTTGAACCTAAGTGGGGTGATAATGAACTCATACTAATTCTTGGAGAAAGTAGCCAAGAGAAATTTTGGGGGGTTCAAGTGAACTGTGTATGTTTGCAGAATTACAGAGTATCTTGAGTTGTCAGTGATCCATCAGGATCATCAAGACCAACTCCCTGCTCCTTGTAGGACCACCTGAAGCTAAACCACATGACTAAGAGCATCGTGCAGACACTCCTTGAACTCTGACAGATTTGGTGCCATGGCCGCTTCCCTGGGAGACTGTGCAGGGACCGAC